AACCAGAGGATCGATGGTCTCAAAGGATTCAAAGTACAATACAACCAGAGGATCAATGGTCTCAAAGGACCCAAAATTCCAAACTTGGCCATTTAATCACAGCATAAAAACTTTGAATTTCCAATCTTTAACATACAACGCTTATAAAGACTTTTTAAGATAAATAAGATCAATTTCAGCCCAAAAGGGTGATCAACACCAAAGGTACCATTTTCAAAATAGACTTTTTATGTGCACTATATCCCCCTTCATCTACAGGGCCCGTGCAAGTATTCACACCCGGCTCCTTATCATTCGGGATACATGAATACAACTAGTATGCCACACCTAACCTTCTTCTCCCTGGGATACGTGGACATACACCATGCTATGGCGCATCACACAAAGTAATACCCATAGATCATGGTTCAACTAAAAACCAATGAAACAGTCTCAGATCCGGGACTTAAACATAAATTTAACAGGATTAAGCGGTACCAAAACACAGTTTGGGAGAAATTTATCTTACAAAATAACACATGCAAGAAATTCAGCAACTTTTCAACAAAAGTTCATATATTTATACTATACATAAGTATAAGTTTGATATAAACTCACAGTGCTTTCTTATAAATGACCAAACGCGGTAACCTCCAATCCAACCAACAATAGCGATAAACCTTCAAAGGTTCTAATTAGCCTTAAAAACAAGCCCTGGAGTAAACATTTCAGAATCAAAACCAACCATATCTCAACCTTAATTTATACACTTTAGATCTTGATTATCCTATTTACATTTTTTTTGTAAAATCCTCTGTTAAACCCCTGTTTTACCATACTTAAACCCAGATTTTGCCATAAAWCTCACTGCATGTTACTTACCTACCCAAAATAGCTTCCGATTCACACAATAATCAACATTATCCTTTATAATCTTTCAAAAACAGAATCTAGCCTCTAATTTATACACTTCTACTTGAAATAAACTTGAAATTAGAAGCATACCTTTGATGATTAACACTTAGTCTTCRAGAATMTAACATGGATCTTCACGGTTTGAAGGTTTAACCTTAAATGTGTGTAAATCGCACCTTAAGTGTGGGTGAGAGTTATAGACTTAGATGATAGAAAAATGGATCAAATCTCCTATTTTATAATGCTAAACTCAAGTTGGGCCGGCTTGGCCCGTCTAAGAACTCATTTGGATCTACAAACTCCCACTAAATTATAAACCCACTATAACCCAATAAATAATCAATTATTCTAAACAAATAATTGGATATTTTGGAACTTGGATGTTACACTCATTTTGTGATTCTAACTATGTATTGCAGGAGGTACGGATGGTAAGGGGAAGAGGAAAATGTGATATTTTCCTAAATGCTTCTCTACATAAATATTTGTTTATAATGTATAGTTTTGATTGATGTACGATGATTAGTACAAGAAATGTATTTTGAATTTTTGAACCATGTATTTTATACTGGTAGATTMTTGTACTAAGGGACCTAAGTGGTGTATAAACATGTATTTCTTCTATATGAAATATGTGTTACATGCAATGTGTGGTATGGGGTGTTTCAGAAAGTGGTATCAGAGCCTGGGTTTAAGGGATTTAGGTATTTAACAGCATGATACCTAGACTTAAACTGTTTAATTGCATGTTGAGGGTCCCGGACATAGTTAGCTCCAATAGAAATAAATATGACGGGTTGAAAGAACAGTGTGTAAGGTAAATTTTAACTACATCTGGCCAATGTAATTATGAATTTACAGGTACACATCTGAACTTAAATACTTCATTATATTTGCGAATGTGAATACATGATTATTAACACTAAACTCTGCAGATGTCTAGCCGAACTAGAAGATCTGAAAGAATGGCCCATCCAGAGTCTGAACAAAGGGAAGAGTCACATGTTAATCTTCCAACTAGCACGTCCGGAAATAGAGGTCGGGGAAGACCAAGGGGACGAGGCAGAGGAAGAAATTAGTCTCAAGGAAGGGGTCGTACTGAAGTTCATTCTGAACCTGAAGAATCCTATTTTGGGAATGTTCAGGAGAGATCGGTGCCACACGCTGAATATGTAACTAGGGACATGTTGGCAGAATAGATGGGGAAATTGAGGGAAACTCTGACTTCTATTATGGGAATACCAGCCAGGGTAGAAACAGAAAGAGTAGAAGTTCATCCTTCGGTACCAGTTACTCACAACAAGGAGGGAGATATTAAAATGTTTTTAGCATGCAAGCCACCAACATTTTCTGGAGAAAGGGATCCAGTGAAAGCTGTATGCTGGATCAAAGATATGGAATCTGTGTTCAACACCATTCGGTGTCCGAAAACAGATAAAGTTTGATTTGTTGTTTCCATATTAAAATCAAATGCTTTGTTCTAGTGGGAAGTTGAATTGACGGCCAGAACAGATGTTTTACAATCATTGTTTTGGGCAGAATTCATGGACCGATTCAAGAATCAGTTTTGCCCTAAAACTGCAGTAAGACAAATGGAAACAGATCTGAACAGAAGATAAGTGAGAAAGTCTGCTCACCGTGCCGACAGGTTCATCAGGGTGAATGCAAGATGGACCCAAGAAAATGTTATAAGTGTGGTGAAGCATGCCATCTGTCCAGAAGTTGTCCGGCTAATCAAAGGTGTTTTAACTGCAATTCTCTGGATCATATTGGACCAAATAGTCCCTTGTTAAGAACTCCGCAGTTAACAA